CATCCACTTCCTCCAAAGCTTTGGATATTCCACACTCAGTGGAAATGAGGACTGGGACACCGGCTGATATCGCTTCAAGAGCAATCAAGCCAAATCCCTCAGTCCGGGATGGCATGACGATTACATCTGCTTCAGAAAACATTTCCTTCATTTCTTCACGACCACAATATCGACGAATGGTTAACTGATTGCGTGCTATGTTTGTTTCCTCACAAAACCATGTCTCTATATTCCTGTGTTCGTCTTTTGGTGCACCAACAAATGTTAGTTTAAATTTCCTTCCAAGTGAAGCGATCGCCTTTCCAACTACATCGTAACCCTTCAATAAGAAGTCCTCAAAGCTTCCACGGCCAAACATGAAAACTCCGAATTCCTGTCCGGTTCCATCTTCGTTCACGTCTTTAGGATTTATATCAAAGTTCTTAAATATTCCAGGAGTGATTACTTTAATGCTCCTAATTCGTCGTGCGAATTTCTTTTGAAGTCCTGCACCCACAGCAACAGTCAGATCTGCTTTTTTGCACAGCTCTAATTCCAGATTATTTTTCCTTTCATTTTCAGCAATTGCATCGGAGTTGGGCCTGTCTTGTTTAAATTTCCCGAGTGCCTCGCAGTAAACGTGAACGAACTGCACCCACCTGCATTTTGCCCTACTTGCAATAAATTGCGCAGGAACACCGAATTTCCTGCCGTGGCCCACCACAACATCTGGATGCTGGAGCTCATCCGGTGGTATTTTGAGACCCTCCACTGGGTCTGAAGCTCCTGGAAGATGCTTGGCGATTATCAAGTTTACTCCATTTGCAATGGCATTTTGCCTCTCGTTCTCGTTGCTATCACAAACATAGCAATGTACTTTGATGTTGTTGCTGGAAGATTTAGCGAAATTCACAGCGAACTCTCGATTAAAAGTCGACAGTCCTCCTCTAGAAGAACCCCACTCGTCACAAACAAACAAAACATTGATATTTCGTGAAACATCGCAAGGGACACGTTCTATCACACAGCAAAATTTCTCATCTTTCTCTTCAAACTCTTTTACTTGAAGTGGCATTGAAGCTGTTCCTCCCATACTAGAGTCCTTCTATAAAACCCCAACAGGAAAATATCGAGTCGATCGAAGCGATTACCCGTTGAAAACAACTCCAAAGCCTGTAACATATAAACGCAGACAGTCGCAGGCGATCCAAGATCGCTGAAACCACTCAACCGAAGATTGCGAATCACATGTTCATTTATGATCGCAGCAGATCCCAGCGATGGGTGACAACCGAGTCCATGGTTTACTATTCAGCGGCAATACAATCAGCAAACATAAACGCAAAGGACCCTGAACTTTTAAATATAGGTGTTAACATTCTGCTTTTGTAAAGTCTCCACTTAACTGACAAACGGACAATCGCTGCGAGATCAAAGAAAAAAACGTCGCTTCTTAGCGCAAAAAGTCTTAAAAAAGAGAGAATTCTTTGCTAAAGCGATGGAACAAACAATAGTATTTTTTAATTTCTTCCATAACCTGTTCCGCGTCAATTTCACCTTCCATCTTGTGAAAACACACGCACGTGTAAAAGTTGATAACAACTGGTTGTCATGGTATAATGCCGCTTGCATTACATTATTGGACACATTCCAATCGCATGATCGCAGAACTTTGTTCACATATGATCGCACTCGATCGTAGACGATCGCAACCGATCGCATGAATAGAACATGGTTCTATTCCTTGCGATCGCGATCGCACTCGTTCGCACACGATCGCACACGATCGCAGAGCTGTTCACATATAATCGAAGACGATCGCTGGCGATCGAGTGCGATTGCCTGCGATCATGTTGCGATCATGTTCACCCGTACTCAGGCCCCCTCTGAGGAAAACCACATACGGGCTACGAGCATCACGTTGTAGTTACTAAGAGCGAGCTCCTCGTTCTCAAGTTTAGAAATCGAGACTGTTCACTGTTTCCTCATGTGGTTTTTCTTGTCTCCGGCATGAAGAAATATATCCGCACAAGACAACCTTTCCTAGAGATAAGAATTAAATTTTATTTTCCTGCGTCCTAACCGCTTTCTTGATGCTTCATTACAAAACATTCACACTCGCTATGAAAAATAATTTTTAGCGCAATCTATAGCTAATTACATATGAATAAAAGAGTGGTGCGTACTGGGAATAACGATCTAAACAAATACGACTAATTGCAATATGCAATGGCATATTGCAATTCATTGAGTCGTCCTTGCTGCCCAGCAATCATAACATTCATCAAATAACTATTCCACTTCCCTTTTCCACAGAGGAATTCCAAACATGTAATATAATCAAATGGAAAAGTCACGCCACGCGAGGATTACCCATTTTTCATATGTTACCTGTCAGACAAAACCTTCATTATAGCTTGAGTTCAAATTCTATCGTCCCTCCCTCCCTTAAAAATAATTAATAATAATAATAATAATAATAATAGTAATAATAATAGTTTAATATTTACAATGCGCAAATTAACGTCAAAATATCATCAAATGCGCGTTACAACGAGATCTAACTTATATATTCATACGAATAAAATAGAGTGATCTTAAAATGTATATATATGTATATATATATATTAAATCCCTGAAGAGTGAAGCGATTCACGAAACAGGCTTGTCGGGAAATGTAGTTACGTCCTTTTTTCCTCTCATAAAAAATTCTACCAGTAGAATGACTAAAAAACTTCTTTGATTAGACCAACTTCATAATGAGATTCCAAAGAAATACTGAATGTAGTGTTTCACGTTCTGTGAAACATAATTTCAAATTTAACCAAATTACACGCACACAAAACAGATTCAACTCTACACTCGACCACGTGCTTTTAAATCCCCTAATTCCTTTCAACCATACACAATTGCATCATAGATACTACACTGAACATGACTAAAATTAATTATTTCAATTCTACTGCTAATAAATGAATATTACTATAACCACTCTCACTTTCTTCCTGCCTTTCTTGCAGTTTTGTTCCCTTTTGTCTGTTGAGATTTTCCAATAATGGATTGTAAAAATCCACTTCTTCCCTTTGTCTCTTCTCTTTTTATTGAGTTTTGTCGTGTTGTATTGTGTTTGAAGAAAATGAAACACAAATTAAATTCAATTATTAATTCAAGTTCCTGTTCAAAATACTCTGAATTCATTACAAGGCAACTGACAGCTATCCAGTCAGGTTTTAAAAAAAACTGTTCACTTAAGCCCTCAAACATTCAATCTAGCAACAACTTAAGGAAAAAGCGCGCTTTCAATTTACCTGTGGTCCGTACGAACAGGTGCCGTGATAGTTTTATCTTTCATCATTCACGCACGCTTTGTTTAAGCTGACCTTATGGTATGTTACCTAATGTTTAATATTTTAAAAGTATGTTACCATTTCTAATATATTTGTTAATATTGTAAATGAATGTGTAATTCAACCTTTGGTTGCAATGTGTTTCAAATAAATAAACTATCTATAAACTACCTAAGACTATCTATCTATAACTATCTATGTATAAAACTACAATGGTGAGAGAAAAGAGAGCTAATGTGTGGTTTTAAGGTAATGTACTCAATCAAATTTAAAAATATTAGCCTTAAACCTCGGCTGTGAAAACTGTTAGTACACTCTAAACATTTTTAACAGGGGCTGTTCTTACCAACACCCTTTCGAGGTCTGGAATGCCGGCCTTGAGGTGGCAGTTGATACCAGCTTTCTGTTTCAGCTCTCCATCTCATTGGATCCCTCTGGTGACGATCCTTTTCAGATACACGTGTGCTTTCATCAGTGATTTCTTGGACCTTTTCATGAGGACGCGTGTTTTTGTTGTCTAAATGATATCAGTGAAAATCATCTGTTTAGTTAATAATTGTCACATTATTTTGAGGAAATGAGATGATCTTAAAGATTCTGCTAATCATGTAATGACCTGAAAATTAAAGGAAGGCAGCTTGTTCTCAATAACAATGACCATCAAGAAAAACAAATTTTGAAACAATTTGACTAAGAAAATGTTTAATTTTAGAAAACTGAACGTACCTGAATGCTGAAGGAAATACTCTTGACATTTTTTGTACTCATTTTCCAGAATAGTTACCGTGAGCTTTACATCCCGAAGACCAAGTTCAATTAAAAGTTCCTTTGTAACAAGGTACTTTTGAGCCATTTCGTTCAGATAACCAGTGCGATAGTCGTTCCACAGTCCGTCAAGTATTTCCAAGGAGATGCATTCCACTGTGATTATCAAACTCCCAAACACTGTCTCCACTATCAATACTTCACGAACCTCCTTTAAATACTGCACAAATCCATTCAGTTCTTCTGGTTTAGATGGGTCAATTGTGTTTAAGTATTTCATGGCAGCGAGATTTAAAACCTC